TAAAACATACTACAAGCCGCCGAAGAAGATTAGTCAATTCTTACCATCCGTCAAGTGTAATATCCCTCTATAAGATGCAGGAGTGTACAAGTTAGATTGTGAATGTGGTCTCCCTTACATAGGTCAAACAAAAAGATCCATAAAAACCCGCGTGAAAGAACATATAGCTGACGTGAATCACCGACGCTCCGGGAAGTCTGCAGTCTGCGAACATGTTCAAGATCGTCCTCACCATTACATTCCATTTGATAAACCACAAATCCTCGCAAAGAACACCGATTGCTACCAAGGATGATACGCGAGGCTATTGAAATTAAAAAACATCCAAATTTCAATAGAGAAGATGGATGGGTGCTGCCACCTACTTGGGATCCTATAATTAACAAAATTAAACCCAAACCTAAGCATACCACTGCAAGACTTCATGAACTATAAGCTCGTTTTGCGTAAATCGGATCAAAAATTAATTTTCAAAAACTGAAGGTAGCCGTACTAACTATGACATTGGGACGTCAAACATTTCAGTCCCCCCCGTGACCATGGGTGCTATAAAGCACCCGAAACGTCGGGAATTAAAAATAAGTAAAAGTAGTGAAATAAACGCGATAAAATCCGTAAATTTAGTTTTATTCAATGTGTAGTGTTCACGTAAATTTAAGAAATCATTATGGAATAAGAAGTTCCATACCCTGAAGTACCACATCGGTGACAGAATCAGCAACAACCTTTGAATCGTCCGGCGAGAAGCAAACCCAAGGGTAGGATGGATGAAATAATCCCAATGATTGGGATGGGGATCGGCCAACACGGCGGCAGCCTGCAGAATGCAACCGCGATTTCAGCGTTAGTTGCACCACACTCCGGACAAGACAATGGTCCGAGGAGCCTAAAGGGGCGTCGACGGGAATCTGATATCTGTCCGGATGAGGTCAGCAGAAGTTCCAACAGGGAAGGTGCATGATCCTCCACATCTGGAATCCGGGTTGGTGAAGTAACCAGTTGGGTCAGACCATATGCCAATGCAAAATCATGAACAGATCTCCCCGCATGATCGGTTGAACGTGAATCAAGCCATTCAGCGTGGTGGGCGCTAAAATCGCCGAGGATCACGATCTCTACGGAGGGGATCTGTTGTAGCAACGAATCTGTAGCCATTTGGACGTGGTCGAAGAGTTTGTCTGTTTCGGCATTACCGCTATGGGACCTATACAGGCACCCGTAGACGCGCGGGCGGTCGTCGTTGTCTACGCGTAGCCAAAGGATGTACAGGTCCGAACCTTAAAGACGCTCCTCTCTGACGTATACGCAAACTTTGACGGTTCCGTGGCGCAGTGGCTTAGCTATGAGTTACAGCGCTAAGGGCCGCGGGTTTGAATCCCGCACGGAGCAAGTATTTGTATGGCCTACAAGTAATTGTTCCGGGTCTGGATGTTTTTCCTTGTGAAATTTATGTTTTTAAACTATCCCACGATACAGGAGAAAATCCTAGTGCTAGTATTGGAGGTAACGTTTTAAACAAAAAAAAAAACTCCAGCCTGAGACTTACAGGAGTATTCCAGTTTGTACCCCGGGTAGGAGAGATGCGAACCATCAGCCGGAGGGGACACCTGCGTCTCGGTGGCAAAGAGCAGAGCCGGTCTCGCCGTCTCGAGATAGTAGTGGACGGCGTTAAGGTTAGAATAAAGTCCCCTGGTATTGCAGAAATTCACGGATAGCGTGGCAGTGGTCGCCTTGGTCTTGTTGCTCAGGTTGCGCCGAGCAGATGTTAACTTAAGGGAATTTTGAGCCCTTCCCCCCCCCTTCCGGAATACACAGGGCAGCCTGAGCACCCACGCTCAGGAGTGGAGCAACTTGGTCATGGATGCTCAGCGAGGGATTCTCCAGGAGTGCTGGTACCCTCCTGGGGTAGATCTTTACTTCATTCCGCTACCATGTTAGGGGGGGGGAATTGTGCCTCCGGCCACCCGCACTCACCAGACGAAACGCGGAAGCAGTACTTCCACTTCACGCCGGTATTCTGTGAGGTCGTGGTACCAACCCGGTTTTAGCCGGCCCATACGTGCAACAGCAAAGCTGCCGCGTGGCTCTACCACTGTTAAATCTATTAAAAATCTTCATTGTAATATTGCACACACATAACAATTATTTTTGTATATAAATAAAAATATGTGTACTACATGTATATAAAATTCCGTTTATTCTCGTTTAATACTAATGACAAAGCGTTCTACTTCCTCTTGAAATTTTTTGTTGTCTATAAAATGCAATGCCGGGTTTTTTTCAGTAGCGTGATGAATTATGATTTCATTCGAACAAAACACAAAGCTTTGTGTTGTCAAATACACATCGCATGAAAAATATTATTATTTTAATTAGTTTTTATAGGCATAACTTGTAGTTGGCATGAAAGGCTTTAGATCTAGAAAGCTGACATTTTGCACAGAGGTTCCCTTTATATGTAGACAAGGACTAAGGAAGGAGTATTTCAAAATACACGTGAATAGAGAATAAAGAGGATATAAATTTTAAAGTTGCCTTAATTCACTACAACTACTATGTTAGTAAGTAATTATAATCAATAATAACTATTTTCAGCAACATACAGTACGGACTATAATCGTACGTGTGCTTAATCTATTCCAAAAAACAACATTGAGGTAATTTCCACTACCACGCGAACTAAGCCGCGAGCGGTCACTAGTAAAATATACAAGCATTGTTATTTGTTATGTGATTACCATGAGTCTTTTATGTCAATTTTAAGACTTATCTTTATTTAGTCGTATACATAAAGCAATCGTTGAGAATTCCTGAACAGAGCATAGGTGATTTTATTTTTTTATGCTGTAGTTAACTTTAAAAAGTAAGCCTACTCGTAGTAACATTATTGCCTGTAGCCGTCGTGTACGTTCTCGTATATCTTCTATGAAAGTCGTATATTATATATTTATTTCTTCTGCAATCTTCTATATACATATTTTTATTTGATCTTGATACATTAATAAAATTTTTGTCAATATTCAGGCTGTACTCGTAATTTTTATAACTTTTTTCTGTTTTTGTAATTTTACATTCGATTTACAGAATTAAGTTTTTGTTGTAAGATATTTACAATTTAAATTTACAATTTACAATTTGTCGCAATTTACAAAAATCTACCTATTGTGTTATAATACAATCTCAAGGTATAGTGACTGTAGGCGAATCGAATCGAAAAGAATTCCTTAGAAAATTTTACCCGGGTTGGGCAAAACAGAATTATTGGATTTTTTTTGTGAATAAATTCTCAGTGACAACCAAGAGTCAGTGATGGGGGAAGTTGTCAGTGTTTCACCTCCGTGTATCGAAAAGCACGTAAAACTATTGGTCTTGCTGCTGATCTCCGGTTGTTTGCCATTCCTTCGAACTATGAGGTAATACTGAGTGCATCTGTGCTTGTACACACACTTGCGCACTATGATCCTGTCCTTCGCAGATGACCAATATTAACTGGCCGCTGTGAACAAAATTCGGTTCGGAGAAGAAATAATTTACTCATCCCTAGCTATTTATCTAATAACCGTATCTATTATTATACTAACGGTCGCTATACCACACAATCGTTAAAATATTTGTATTTACAATCTATTTAATAAAATCTGTACCTTATTTTATTATTCATATTTGTAGTTATTTTTCGTTTTACTTGAACCAACTTAGACTTCTACAAAAATTAAACAATCATTTATAAAGGAACATTTGTACTGAAAATATTTTGCTTCAAATATAATACTTTTATAATTCCAACGTTAAAGGAAACCTCCGGGATTTGTTTCGTGTCTCTGAAATTTAATTTATTTTATAAATAACCATTCCGCAAGCTGTCCATCAGAATAATTTTGGTAGTATTGTTTGCAGCGTTTTTGTTGAATTTATTGTTTTTAAATTAATATAGTACTGTAAATAATAGTAAGTGTTTAAAAGTTTAATGAAGTAAATAATAAAAGTTCTGTTGTTAAATTTCTGTTTCAGATATGTGGGGAAATTCTTATGAACAGCACTCTGTACGAGTGTGTATTCCGGCTAAAACCGTTATGAAATTCGGCTCTTTCGCACAATTCCGGGCTGTCAGAACACTTTTGCACGCAAAGTCAGCCCTTATGGTGACAACCATTCGACGAAAAATAAGATCAAATATATAACTTCAACTCTGGAACTTAGGATACGAATAAACACACAAAGTTGCATGTGACGGCTGGTATGTCCCTTGGGACAGCCGCTTTGGGACAACCACTTTGGGAAACTTTTGAGACGATCGCTTTGGAACACCTCAGTCAGTATAGTGTGCTTTTTTGTTTAAGATAACTAATTAATTCGTTCAATTTTTGAACGAATAAACGTTTCCATTTTTCTTGTTGCTTATAAACATTTATGTAATTTACACTATATTCATAAATATCTTTATAAATAGGGTGACAAGGACGCAATGCCTGCCAATTTTATTACCAATGCAATTATGTACATACTAACTTTATTATTTTCCTCTGAGGAAAATCCTCTTTTTATCTGAGTAAAAGAGGGTTTCCATCTACTTGTAGACTAATCTGCTTCAGTTCTCTTTTAAAGAGGGGTTTCCAAACATGGTGCTATAAAGTAATCATTGCGTTTTATTAATTTAATAGCATCCTACACACTGCATACCAAATTAACCCTCGGTTGGTCGCGTGGGGTCTTTAAAAGCCTAGGTATTTTTAAAATGCAAATATTTTATTGTTAATACTATCATAGAAACTTGAAAATCCAGGTTCCTAAGTTTGATTATAGTTTCCGCTGATCGCTGCTAAGTTCAGGGCCCGCGCAGGCGTCGTGAGATACGAAAGGTTATTTTGTGCGTAGGCTTTCAAAGACCCCACGCGACTAACCGCGTAAGTAAAAAGTGATTGGAACTTATTTTTTTATTTACTTGGAGCACATGATGTTTTGATGATTTTTGTGTTGTTTTAGGCTTTTTAGTTACTATAATGGACGCTCGACAACAAGAACGCATATTACACTGGTTGGAGGAGGAGGAAGAGGAGATTCTTGGTGGAGAGGATGATGAAGATGAAAATCATATATACCCGGACGAAACAAGCGAATACAACACGGATTCAGCGCAAGAATGTGATGATGGTGATCCAGAAACCCAGGATCATGTGTCAGAATCGTCCGAAGACCAACAAAAGAATGTAGATAGTTCGGATAGTGACGACAATGAGCCATTGATCCACATGTCATCACAGAACTTTTATTTTGTCAAAAAAAAAAAGATAAAAGTGGCCACTATAAAAAAAATTTCAAATGGAGGAAGACACCGTACCCACAGGGCATCAGAACAAGGAGACAGAATATAGTTACAGAACAACCAGGCCCACAGGGTACAGATCGGGCGGTGAGTAACCCCTTTGAATCTTGGCTTTTGTTTTTGGACGTTGATATGTTGCAGCATATTGTGAAGTGCACGAATATAAAGATAGCATCTATGCCGACAAATTACGAGAGGCAGCGCGACTGTGAGGTGACCAATATCATTGAGCTAAAAGCGTTGATTGGTATTATGTATCTGATTGGTATTCATAAATCGTCACATGCTTTGATTGATGATATTTGGATGGCTGATGGTACGGGGTTAGATAAATGCCGTGCTACTATGTCCAAGTAACGTTTTCGTTTTTTATTAAGAGTCCTCCGATTCGATAATATTCATACACGGGAACAACGCAAAGCCATTGACAAACTGGCGCCAATAAGAAAGATATTGCAATTTGTAAAAAATTGCCAGACTAATTACAAGAACACTGAATATGTTACTAATATATGAAATGTTGGAGAGTTTTAGAGGCTCGTGTGGATTTCGCCAATATATGCCAAGCAAACCAGCTAAATATGGCATAAAGTTGTTTTCTCTAGTGGATGCCATGACATTCTACACAAAAAACTTAGAAATATATGTCGGAAAACAGCCAGAAGGTCCCTACTTTCAAGATACTTCAACAAAAGCTCTTGTCAAATGAATGATTGAACCAATATCAGGTACAGGATAAAATGTGACCATGGATAACTGGTTTACTAGTGTTCCATTAGCTGAGGACCTATTGACAAATCATAAGTTGATAGTAGTGGGTACATTAAGAAAAAATAAACCAGAAATTCCAAATGAATTCAAGCGAAAAGGCTTGGAAGTACATTCCACAGCGTTTGGATATAAACCGACAGAGACTTTGCTCTCATACTGCCCAAAAAAAGGATAAAACAGTGTTATTACTTTCAACTATGCACAATGAGGGTATAATAGATGAGACATCCGAGAAAAAGATTCCAGAAATCATAATTTTTTATAATAAAACGAAAGGTGGAGTGGACGTGATGGATAAACTTATCGGAACTTACACTGTTGCACGCGTTTGCTACCGATGGCCGTTGAGGTTGTTCTTTACAATGCTCGATGTTGGAGCGGTAAATGCCCACATAATATTGGATACCGTAAATACTAACAACCGAATAGGTCGCAAGTTATTCTTGAAAACGCTAGCATTCGAAATATGTCGTCCTCAGTTGGAATCGCGGGCCACTATATCAACTTTGCCACGCGAATTGAAACAGCTTATTCTGCGATTCGTACCTCGTCCCGTGGATGTTCCTCCATACTGGTTTCGTACCTATGAGTAAACGATGTATTCACTGCACCAGGGGAACAGATAAAAAATTTAAAACTATCTGCCTTTTTTTGTAAGGGAAATACATGTCCAATACATTCAAAATCAGTATGTACTGACTGTGTTCAAACGGAAAATTAGTGTGAATTTGAAACGCAAAAGTATATTTTTTTGTTGGATCTACTTACATTTCTTTTTATATTGTTAAATAATGCCTTAAATACCAAAAAAAAAGGTTAACACGATTGTTTTTTTTATTACAAGAAATATTTTTTTTCTCTAAGTCATGTAAAACACTAAAAATTTTGTTCCTATTTTCTAATTTTAAGTTTCAAGGAGTTAATAAACATTTATTTTCTAATAAATTATAGTCTTTTTATTCAAGTAATATAAATAAACAATTATATGATAAAATAAATAAGAAAATAATAATTGTAAGGTGTTTTCTACACGCTGTTAAATTTTGGGGTCCTTAAAGACTCCACGCGACCAACCGCGTAAGTTTAAAAGCGCGACCAACCGAGGGTTAATAATGAAAAAATAAAATTTTACTAATTTGTTACATTATTTACAAAACGTGTATTTCTGAAGCCCTGTTTCTCTTGATCCCGTTTATATCCCGTGATAGAGTTTTGCTATATGTATACAGACATTATAAACAATATTTGATAATTTTTTTAATTTTTTAAAATTGCCACTTTAAAAAAATTAAAATTTAATGTTTATTTTTTTTTTAATGTTAACCCTATCTTGGCATAAAAATTTGCATAAAAATTTAGCATAAAAATTTAAATCTTTAAAAATTAATAACTTCAAAAATATTTATACTACATAACTGAAATTTGGTATTTTTTCATGTCTATGATATATTGCGGTATTAAAAAAATCATGAAAATCTAAGACATAATTTTGTGAAAATCTCCCAAAATTGTGTTGAATTGACATGGATTGACCCGTACGGATCTTGGATTATGTGCCTATAAAATACAGAGAAGAATTAAAGCCAAATGACCATCGTTTATGTCGCATCGTTTATTTGCTGATTGGGCTAATTAGAAATTGGCCGAATATGAGTATTTTTATCGAAGAATAGGGTTTAGTGATGAAGCTTACTGAAGAACACATATAGAATCACAATTACATGCATTAAAACTGAGAGTTCGGTTGTGCTTACACGCTGGCGGCATCATCCGTCCCTATTTCTTTCGAAATGAGGAAGGAGCTACCGTTACGGTGAATGGCGCTATTGACACATGCTGACTGATTTTTTTGTTTTCTAAAATTAATCAGCTAAACGTCGACGACATTTGATTGCAACAAGATGGTGCAACTTGCCAGACAGCGCGCTTAAACATCAGTTTATTGCAAAATCAATTTGGTTGCAACTTTAGTTCCAGAAGTGGTCCTGTTAACTTGACCCTCGTTCGTGCGACTTAACACCTCCCGATTATTTTTTGTGGGGCTATGTTAAGTCATTAGTTCATTTCAACAAACCAAGCCACTAGTGACGCAATACGGCCAGATTTATTGGAAATTGTAGTGATGAATGTAGTGAATTAGACCGATCGAATGGACTGTGTAACTCGTAGCCGCGGCGGACACAGGCCAGAAAACATATTTAAAAAATTAATTCCACGAAATTATTTACCACATTATAAAGATAATGAATTCATTCCAACAATATGTCTGTCTGGTATTATTATTTAAATTTCTAAACCTCTTAAAAACTCTTTATTAGGCGAGCAAATCAAAACAACATATTATTCCTTTAAAATAAAATATTTTCTGCAACATTTTTGCAAGCAAATGCCTCTGTACTCGCAAATTACGTGTTTCTGCCCTATTTGAAAAAACATCCACCAAGTGTGTTTAATATAACACTGCGTAACAGCTGCTGAATTTCATGAACAAATATTGTCTGAACGTGACTGCTCGCTCCTATGGATTCAGTTCGGAATATTTCCTCCTACCTGTTAAACTACGGTTAGCTCCGGTTTATAGCAGTAGCCTCATGAAATTGAACACACAACGCCACCACGCATTATATATAAATATAAATACGTATGATTTAAGCAAAAAAAAATTGTAAATTAATTGCCTCCGAATTTTATGGTTATCTACCCTATAAGTGATAATATGGTTCTGCTATTAAATCGATTTATTAATATTAAATCGATTTATATAATGATGTGCGTACTGACACATGTGACCTACATTTTGTAATGATTTCTTGTTTTTTCTTATCAACACATAAACAGTTTACTGTTTTATATGAACCTCTTTCATAGATAGTGTGAACAGCTGTATCCTTTAGTAAGGACAGTTCATTGGCTCATATATGATTATTGTAATGGATGTATATAAATAAAAGTGAGCAGCTTACATATAAAACCTGATTGTTTTGTTAATTTTTGAGCAATATTATGAATAACAGTAAATAATAAATAAAATATTATCTAATGCATTTTAATTTTAGAAAAACTTATAATTTAACTAATAATAAGTATTATTAATTTGTTTTAAGTTTTACTGATAAAATAACTAACGAAAAATCGTGTCATGGAGATAAATAGAACATGTAGGCTACGTTAGTAGACATACATCCATTTCTTTCTTTACTTTATCTTTTTTTGTACATTATAATTATGTAATCTACGTCCCACTACATTACAGTGCGCACAATCATATTTCATATTATAGAACAGTAAAAAGTTGTTGATACAAATATGTGATATTCCTCATGAGTTGGACGACACGGCGTTGAGCCGTGGATGGACGTGATATCACGAGTGCTGCCATAATATGCCCCTTTCTCTGTATCAATCGGTATGCTATTTTATATTCGTGCTGGCATTTTAGCGCATTACACTCCGGCACCGGCTGTTTATAGTCAGAAGTTTTAGTTTTAGTACTCATACGTTTTTTAGATGAATTTACTAGACAAAATAACTTTGAAGGGTTTTAATTTTGAAAATTACAGTTTAAGATGTAACTTTTTTTAATAATCTGAATCCTTACAGCTATTCCAATTATATTAGAGCCATTCTAGTATTTTAGGATTTTGTTGAATAGTGTTCATGTCAAGAAAATGCACTGTATTGCTTTGTCTTACATTCTTTTATCAGCTACAGCAACGAAATAATAACTACTTCAGTAACATAGTTGTCATTATTTGCGATTTCAATTTAATTACAATGACTATCTTAACAACATTAGTATAAAAAATTTGCAGTCCATAAACGCTAATAAATAATGAATGGCATAGGTCTTCTTATAATGTTTGAAAGAATATTGAAGCAAAAGAGTCGAACTTGTCTAAAACTCGTATGGGGCTTACATTTTTCCGATGCCCTTAAAACTTGGTCCATATTTTGTATTATGGATAAAATTTTATTTATAAGGATTTTATCACGTTTAATTAACTTATTTTTAATATTTTTAATTCCCGGTGCCACAAGAGACTGTGCTGTTTGACGCCCCAATCTCATAGTTATTCCGGCTATCTTCAGTTTATGTATATTAAGGTATTCAATGTGTAGTGTTGGCGTGAATATATAAAATATATATATAATATATATATATATTTATTCACGTTCAATATATATATAGTCAAGCATCAAATAAATAGGGCTTGAATACTTTTGTTACAAAAAGCAGCAAATTTAAAACTTCTTCCTAATTCTACCACACACATTTTC